ACTGATTTACCTTTACTACTTGGAAAACAATGTGATCAATTCTCTTCATCTTTGGCCAAAAATAGTTGTCTTGAATGTGTTACAGTGACTTTATGCCTCACTCACAAACTCTCAACAGAATTTGGAAAAATGTTTTATGATGTGAAAATATTCTTGCATCCCACCTGAATAATCTAAATTTTCTATAATCTGGAGGAATAAAAATAATGGATGTGCCACTATATCTGAAGGGATGAGTGTCCCCGGGGAGGCATTAACAATGTGTAAATCCCCATAATGGGGCACACTGGGTCATATTTCAGGGGAGAGCATGTCAGTAATTTGCCAAGCAGTCAGTGCTTAGCAGAATGTATACCAATTTAGGAGGCAGTATCTGAGGAGATTCTTTTGAAAGCTAAAAAAAAAAAAAAAATGGGATAGTACATTCTTGTTAGGGAGAAAGCCTAATAGCAGGCTTATAGACAAGGATGAGGACAATGCCAATGGAGAAAATGTAATGTATGCAGGTAACATGTAGAGTGTGTGTGGTTGAGTCTGGACAGACACAGGAAACATCACAGAAGGCCAAGTATCTGACTGAGGCATCTGGATTGTATTCAGAGCAAAATAGGAAGACAATGCTGAAAAGGAAGGAGGGACTGAATGAATATTCATTAGACTGTGCCACTTTTTGCTGAAACCTACTTCATTGACAGCTGATTTATTGGAAGCTGCTGGTAACAAGAGTCCATGGGAGTATACAGCAGGTGACAACTAGTGTTCAGCAGGCCAACCCACCAGACTCTCTGATGGGGAGCCTTCCTTGACAAGACAAAGGAGTTACTGACTGTGATTTCTCTCATATTTCATTTCATTTCATTCCTAAGAATAGCTATGGGTGTTTTCCATTGCTTGTGTGTTTATCTAATGTTTATATTCCATCTACTGAGCACACATATTCATAGATGTTCAGAAAGATGACTTCTCATTTAGCTGTATAAAATTGATATATAGAAAATATACTAGGATATGCTTCTTAAGTAGACCTATTTTTCCCATGAGGACTGTAGACCCATAAATGCCTGCTTTGTTCCTTTTGCTCAGATTAATTGTACACGATTATCTCATCTTTTCCTCAGAGTAACTTCAAACTAGCCTAAAGGCTTTTTGTAAATAGATCAAAGGTTTAAAAATTACAGCTATGAACAAGGTCAGAGTTGTAGGTATCCAACCAAGGTTATCCATATAAAACACCCTAAGATAAGCATGCCGATTCTTCAATTGCCAAGTCTGCTGACAATAGACCTGTGTTTTTAAGTTTGTTATTGGGCACTGTGCAACCCCCATCTAGTCACAGTCTTACTCCTGTTACCTTGGATCCTTGTGATGCCATGATAAATGGCTTTGTCCTTATCGCTTACCCTAGGCATGTGCTTTTGACCAATGATAAGTAACTCTTGTAATTTTTTCTATTGCTACAAGCCTCCTGTGAAAGAAGAATTTTTAGGCTAGAGAAGAAGCTAGGAAGGAGAAGAAGCTAGGAAGGATTTAAAATTAGGACAAGAAAATTAGATGAATAGGCAGAAAAATAAAGAGACATGCTAAGAAAAGGAGTGTGTAAGTTGATTTGTTCACCCTCAGTTTCTTAGGTTTCCCTCGCTTGCTGTAGCATCTTTTCTTCACCCTGAAGAGGTGTGAGTGGCTGCTACCTGATGGACCTCATTATTGATTTCTTTATTTTCCCCTAGAATCAAAGATTCTTCAAACCATAGAGTATAAAGTCTGTACCTGTGAATTATCTCAATCCTGAAAGGATGTATAAAGACCCTTTCTAAGAACACTTCTCCTCATAGCTGCTCTGTGTGTTCTGTTGAAGCTTCTATTCTATTCTAGTTTTGGCCTCATCTAAGCAACGACTTCCAGAAGTACCACTGTGCTTTGTCCAAGCATATTCTGCATATGCTCACCTTGAACTTCTGAGTCTAGAGATATGTAGAGCAGAGATCAGCGCAGTGTCGTGGATGTTGTCTCTGTTCCAGTGAAGAAGAGATCCAGAGTGCTGCAGATAAGGTTTCTTCATTAAAACTTGTAGTTTTGTCTGGGTACTAGAAAAGACAGTGGGTATTTATTTTATTTTATTATTTTAGTTAGAGGATTTATGATTATCTCAAGAACAGAATCTTGAAACTGGGAAGCAAATATAGAAGGAATCTTTCAGAATGTCATTCCCTTTGATCTCATTGGGTAGTATTGTTCTCCTTCAAGTGAGAGGTTGATCAAAAGCACATGAGTGGGTAAAAGCAAAGACAATTGTTTTCTTATGATTATACTTTTAAGTTTTTAGTAAAATGGTAAATAATTGGATACAAAGGAACAGTTGGTTTCGTGTATCATTTACATTACTAAGTCATGACATGGCCTAGAATGTTCACTTTACATTTCTCCACCTCAGTTTTATAACAAGAGAATAACACTTATGATGGTTGTGCTTGGTGTCACCTTGACTATATCTGGAATTAACTGAAACCCGAGTGGTTAGGTACACCTGTGATGGATTTTTGTTGATTAAATCATTTAAAGGGGGAAGACCTCCATTTAGTTAGATAATTCAAGGTGGGTGGGAAGTCCACCTTAAATCAGCCACACCTTCTGGTGGCAGCCTATATAGGGATGTGGAAGAAGATAGTGTTTACTCTTCATCTACTTGTCTTTACACTCACTTTCAAGTCAATGTCTTCATTGTCCTTAGAGCCTACTTCTTTAGGATTCTGGCATATACTGAAGATTAGCTGTGGCATCCAGTCGTGTGGACTGAACAAGTACTGGATTCTTACACTTTCTGTTGGTAGATGGCCATTATTGGACTAGCTGGACCACAGACTTTAAGTTCCTCTAATAAATCCAATATATATATATATATATATATATATATATATATGTGTGTGTGTGTGTGTGTGTGTGTGTGTGTATGTATGTATGTAAGTATATAATCACACATACACACATATGTATTGGAATGTCTTATTGGCTGTGATACAGCCAATTCAACAATGCCTGTCAACAAGAGAAAGAATATATATACACACATATATATTACATATAATCTATCAGTTTTGTTCTTCTAAAAAATTCTGAATAATACAGCACACATCTTATCAGTAATAATAATATTAATAATTTTAATATTATTAATAATACTAAAGTATGTCAATATCTATTGCTAGTAGCAATATTATTAATAATATTAAAGTGTGAAATATGTAATATCATTAACATTAAATTATATCAATATTTAATATTATTAATATTATTAAGTAATGTTAAAATTATACTCTTTACCAGTGGAGTGTCACTTGGTCTGTGTGTATGACACACAGAACATTTCACAGAGGTCTGGTGGATTACTGTCTATACTTGCTTGCATACTTTTGTACCAGGTTTCACACATCATGTTGCAATATTTATATGTACAGGGCCATTGTGAAAATTAATGGACATGTACTTTTGCAGTGTCTATCAAAGGACCTCCTACAATTTGTGATGTCAAGAATATTTATTATCACTCTCTACTACCTCTTTGTTCCTTCTAACATTCCCCCGGTACATAACCTAGAAGTTGGCTGGGCACTCGCTGAAATTTACTGACTTCCTTGGCTCTGCTGACTAGAAGGAAAGCAAAGGCACTGATGGATTTGGAACTACAACTATTAAAACAAGGAACATAAATATTGTAGAAAATAAGAGCAACAGATCAAATTCTTTAAGTTCCTTTTCTTACTTATAAGGCATACTAGCCAGTTCATCAGTTTTTAGTGAGGGCATCCCTGAACTTGACAAGAACTTGCTGGTGAGGATAGGATAAGGTAGAATAAATCCACTTTTGGGTGCATCATAGAGAAGTGGATGCATACAAACAGAAGGTCTTGGAGGGAAAGGGAACTTGTGGAGGACCAGTAACTGTACTTCAGATTCATTTTCTCTGGAACTCTTGTATACCCAAGCACACTATGCCAGCAAGGGGAAGGTGGTGAAAGCAGTATTTTACACAGAACAGGAACAAAAGCAATGTCAGTCATGAACAGAAAAGAATAAATTACATAAAATGGCTGAACTAATGAGAGCTATGAAGAAATTTATTTTAATTATCACAACTAATAAGCCAATCTGTAATAGCAATAGAGTAGAAAACAAAGAATGAACACTGATTCAGTGATCCAGAAAAACAATAGTCAAAATGATGGGAGTTATTAGGGATTTCACAACAACAACCTTTAATATCAATGGCTTTAATGTCTAACACACACACACACACACACACACACACACACACACACACACATACACACACACAGAAAGAGAGAACATAGAATAGATGAAGACACATGCACTAACATATTGTTTCTAAGAAACATACCTTACATGCAAGTGTACCCACAGCCCGAGAGTTATTAGAGAAAAAATAAGCTATAATCAAGCAAAAGAAAATTAAAAACATATAGTTCTTATTATCCTGGTATCTGAGAAAGTAGATTTTAATTCCAAACTATTTGAAAGTGACTTTTAAAAAGGCACTATAAATTAATAAAGAGAACAGTCAGGACAATTGTAACTAAACATGACTCAAATCAAATTCAGGGCTACCAAATTCACAGAATCAACAATAATGAAGATAAAATGCCAGAAGAACCTTGCGTTAATACAGGGTGATTTCAGCAAGCTGCTCTCATCTCTAGATAGCTTCTTCATAATGAAAATCAAAAGAAGAAAGGATTAAATGACACTATAGATAAAACTCCTTAAGAGATAGCTAGAGGATATTCCTTCCAACAGAAACATATACATAGAACCTTATCTAAAATGGAATATATTTTATACCACAGATGAGCTCTTACCAGATACAAAAGAAATAAAAATTATTTTTAGCTGAACAAGGACCATAGCAACAGGCATACCTATGAGACCCAAACCCCATACAAAGAACTACAGCCAACTAAGGAATGCTGAGAATGATAAAGTTTTCCTCAGGAAGAGTCCATCAATTGGTTATCCAACATCAACTCATCATCCTTGAAAACATACATAAATGTAACATTATAAGACTAAGCAGGTTGTATTATGTATTTAGGTATATATATATAAACATGTACATAAGAATCAATAATTAAAAAAAATTGAAGCCGTGGATTTGAAAGAGAGCAAGGAGGGGTACTTGAAAGTGTTTGGAGGAAGAAAAGAAAAGGAGGAGATGGTAAAATTGTATTATAATATTAAAAATATAATAAATAATTTTTAAAAATTCTCACTACAAGAAGACCCAGATGAGTGGATGTGTTCCCTTGAACACTGGCACCAGAAAATTCATGGATATATTATTCTTAATACCCTAAAACTAGGGACAACTCAGATACCTAACAGAGAAAATGACAATACATTCAGAAACTGTACTGCATATAAAGAGGAATGTTAAAACAAGTTGATGAGCTGGAAAGTATACTCAGAAAGTGATACTGAGGTAGAAAGAGAGAGACATAGAAGGAGACAATCGTAGTCCATGATAACATTATTTGTTTCAAAAAGGGAAATTCCAGTGTACATGCATATGTTCCAGTGTAAATATTCAAATAGGTCATACAATTGTTAGAAATGTTTTGTATATGTTAAGTTCTTATATTACCAATAGGTTTGTATCAAATTCAACTTTTTTTTTTTTTGGTGTTTTTTTTTTTTTTTTTATTGATAATAATTTTTTTTTAAAATTTATTTTAATTTATTTTGCAATACAATTCAGTTCTACATATCGGTCACGGATTCCCTTGTTCTCCCCCCTCCCGTCCCCCTCACCTTCCCCCCAACGCCCCCCCCCCCCCATTCCCATCTCCTCCAGGGCAAAGCCTTCCCCACAGACTGAGGTCAACCTGGTAGACTCAGTCCAGGTAGGTCTAGTCCCCTCCTCCCAGGCCAAGCCAAACAATCCTGCATAGGCCCCAGGTTTCAAACAGCCAACTCAACTTTTAAGACATTATATATTAGCTTCAAAAAGTCTCGCAAATGAAAAGAACGTATCTGCTTATTAATCAGTCCCAATCCAATATTCTTTCCAAAATATGCAAAGGCAAAGAGCTTACCAGGCACATCCTTGATGCTTCCAGACATGTGGCCTCATGTAATAACCCCAGCAGCTCCTGAAACTGACTGTCCTCATACCCAAAATGTTCCCTAAAGGTGATGGAGCAAATGGTATTGGAAACAAGCATTGTTGATCCTGAAGTGAGGGTCAAAAGGCTGTCCTGGAGGTAGGGAGAGGTCATATATCTTTCAAAGATACTGGTTTCTTTCCTTCCTTCTAACCTTTCTTTTTTTTCCTTCCTTCCTTCCTTTCTTCCTTCCTTCCTTCCTTCCTTCCTTCCTTCCTTCCTTCCTTCCTTTCTTCCTTTCTTTCTTTCTTTCTTCCTTCCTTTCTTTTCCTTCCTCCCTTCCTTTCTCTCTCTCTCTTTCTTTTTCTTCTTTCTTTCTTTTTTTATAAAGATTCTACACTGCGTGACATAAAATATGCACAATAGAGCATCATCTGAAAAGCTCTGACTACAGCCCTCTACAGGGGGCCTGGCATGATTCAAGGACTTTATCAATATCTGTGAAGTTACACAGAGAACCAAGCTTTAAGTTCAACAATTTTTTAATAACCCATTTGTTTGCTTAGCTGTAGAACTCCTGGGGCAAGGGCAAGGCTAGATGTTCACTATTCAGTCCTCAGTACCTGTTACAGTTGCAGACCAAAGACTAGGATTTAGACAATAAGAATCTGTTCAGTGAATGAAAAGGCCACAACCTCCTGCACTGCCCTGTAAAGGGCTCACCTTCAACCTCTCCTATGGCATCTGCAAGGTGGAGGACCTCCTCCTGTATGTGCTGCTCTAAGCTCTTCTTCCGCAATCCATAGTTCTTGAGTGTCATTAGTGTGAACCTTCTTTGCTCCTTCCATGTCTGGCCACTGGAGAAGACCAAGCCTGGAAAGAAGAGATTCAGCATTATAGCATTGTGATGCTAGTTTAAAAGTATCAGAAAAGTACTAAGACAGGTGCACACTAGAGAAGAATGGCCAATAAGTAAATTGACAACTGTTCACAGACAATTGCAATGCAAGTGGCTAACATATTCTGGTGACTTGCAACAGTACATAGTTTAGGAAGTACTTCTTATATATTATATAATTTTGTACTGATAGAAACTCTATAGGTTTCTCACCAATTAACACAATTACATTTCAATTGGTAAAACACAGAGGTATGATAACAAATTTAAAGTAATCTTTGAAAGACAACAAGTAGGTGGTAATCCAGGTGTTCAAGTTTCATCGGTTCTAAAGCCCCAAACTGATTAGTAGAAATATGTCAATTTATGTCACAATGAGTACCAGGAATGCACTCATGGATAGGACAAGGCACACATTACTAACAAAGCAACAAAAGCATTATAGAAGAGGTTCTAGCAAAGACAAACTTAAAAAGATGACAAGATAACTCAAGAAGTTAAAAGGATGAATATTCCTCACACACATATGCGCACAAATGCAGTGGTGTAGCAGAGGAGGGATATGCTGCTGTGATTAGCATCCAGCATGTCTCTGTGCACATATAATGCCAAACTCCTGTTCAGATGTTACCTTTCAGAACAATGTTCAAGTCTTTAAAGAAAGGTCCTGGTTTCCAGCTCATGGGTTCTTTCATCAACTCAGTCATTTATTTCCTGAAACTCTCCTTTCTATTCTGGATCTTTCAGTTATACTGCAGGTTTTCTAACATATTCTTTGCCAGAAATTTCCTATAACTTTTATTGTTGTATTTTAACTATCAAATCTTGAAACTTTGGAGTTTTTTGACACCAGGTCTAAAATCTCCCTTCTATACCAAACTTGGCTTCAGGAAATTTAATGAACTCCTGTAATTTAAATAACCTCTTCAGATAGTCAAACTGTAGTTTGTCCCATAAGGTACACATTCCTAAATAAAGCATGTGATTGTAAACATTACAGTTGCAGGAACTTACATTCACCACATGTATGACAGAAGTCATTATTAGATTCCTGAAACTCCCAAATGGAAGTCAACACCACTAATCACCTTGTCTTCTGTCATTGTCATCTTTGTATCACTCACAGCTCCTGCAGTGTCCTGAGAACCCCATTTTCCTGGCATCTAAGTCATATGTCATGATGGCTTCTCTCTTGAATGACTTGAGTCCAAGAGCCTGAATGGCACCATCCCAGTCTAACCCACTGTCATTTTTGTCATCTTGAGTGTTCAGACTCCTTCTTATATGACGTACAGTGACAATATCTTTGCTATCGTTCTTTTGTTCTCTACCTGGCCTCCTAAGGGTGCCTCAAAATGTGTAATATTTGATTTTTTTCTCCCAGCCAAACAACTTAAGGGTTTCTCTTGATGTTAGGATAGAAAAACCCAGAGCTGGATACTTTCTTGCCAGACTCAAAAGTTTTATGTCCACTTAATATGTCCTTCAGATACTATACTTGCCACACTGAATACCTTTAAATTCTTCATGATCCCTGCTTTCTTGTCTCTTCAAGGATATTCTAATCCTATTGTATATTTTTTCAAACTACTCAATGAGTACCATTATTTCAAAAACTTTTCCTGAATCCTAGGCCAACTTGGATGTCTTTGATAAATGGTTTACTATTGTAGCATGACAGGTTTTTCACAATATAGTTAATTGATTCAGACTTTCTTGTTAGATGAATTATGTGTCACATAATAAGAATGATTTTTTATCAATTCTGGTCAGTATTAATCAATTATGACAATGATTCTGCTTTTCCTAGCAGATAATGTAGTCAAAGTTGTACAATTAATGGCTGATTGTTTCAAGGAGCAATTAGAAATGGCTAAAAATGAAGTTTTTATAGGTTAATAGAGTTGGAATCTGTTTTCAGCTTTGAGACAGATATGTTGATTTAATGATCACTTTGCATATTCATGCTAGTCTATTCCCACACTGTCAGGAATGCTAAAGATCCCTGTGTGGCATGACTTTAATGATGTAGTTAAAGGAGCCATAATCAAGAAGAGCAGCCCCAGGAGGAAGCTGTTCATATCCATATTTTTAGGACAGAGGCTTGGAGTGGGAAAAGGGAATCGAAGGCACAGTATGTCTGGCTGTGGTAGGAGCTGCTGTTACTTCCTATCCATGCATCTAGAGTTCTTCTGCAGGACATGTCTCTTCTCCAAGTCTCTCTTACAGGGATACACCATAAATCCTTTGATAGTTGCTTTCTTCTAGGAAATGTTGCATCTAGCTGACTTTGAAGACAGCATTTCATGAAGGATTTTATTTACAAGAACGTTGTAAAATTACAGACATAGAGGTGCTTTTAACAAATCATATGCACACCTTATTCTGTACTAGAAACAATATATGCATTTTTTTCTTTTTTAAAATTTTTTTACACATGCAGTACATTTTGATCATACCCTTTTTCACTCCCTCCCTACACCTCTCCCTGGAGCCTCTCCTGCTGTGGGATGGTCTCTATGTCAAATGTGTTGCTGATTGGTCAATGAATAAATCACTGATTGGTCAGTGGCCAGGCAGGAAGTATAGGCGGGACTAACAGAGAGGAGAATTGAGAGAACAGGAAGCTGGGTGAGGGATACACTGCCAGCCGCCATCAGGACAAGGAAGATGTAAAATACCGGTAAGCCACAAGCCATGTGTGGCAAGGTATAGATTGATAGAAATGGATTAATTTAAGCTGTAAGAACAGTTAGCAAGAAGCCTGCCACGGCCATACAGTTTGTAACCAATATAAGTCTCTGTGTTTACTTGGTCAGGTCTGAGTGGCTGTGGGACTGGCAGGTGAGAGAGTTTGTCCTGACTGTGGGCCAGGCAGGAAAACATTAGCAACACTCTCCTAATATGGGTTCCATTTTCCATCAAAATTCAGGTTTTTTAAAAAAATAACCCACTAAATTCAACAGTGCTGCCAGTCAAACTTACCATTGTTTTTAAAGACACATTCTCTGAGTGGCATAATGGGGTGTTTCAAAAAGTTTTGTTCCATGTGAGTTAAAACTTCTTTGATTAAGGGCATTCCAGTTAGGATCACTGAGGGGATGTTACCAAAAACCAGGCTAATTAGGTTTCCATGCATCTTCACAAATGGAAAAACATTTCAATAGCCATAGTTAAGTATGTCTGTGTCAGTGTGTCAAGGGATGGCATACATGTGTGGATCTAATGGGACTTGTGTTGAGAGGTCTCTGTGTTAAGGTGAATAGAGGGATGCACCTTGGTCTACTGAAGTGTTTCTGATAAGGTCTTCTCATCCTCTGAACAAAGTTCAAATTCAAATTAAAATGGAATATATTTTATAAAAATTATTGATACAGTATGAATTAGGTGGGCATCTATCATGTACTCTTAAAAGATGGTATGAGGATTTAAGTGTCAACAAATAAACAAGACTACCACTCAACCATTCTAAAGTCCAATAAAGGCAGAGAAAAAGACTCATGTGACCTTACAAATGCTGAAGAAGTTTTGCGAATGTTTGGTACAGCTTGCAAGGACTTCTTAGAAAATCAAATGTCTGCTTATCTATAAGATGATGCTGTCTACACATGATGAGATGTATATGTGTAAACAATAAGACTAAACCTAAGAGGAGTCCATGCCCATCTGGGTGGAAAAAGTACCTTGATGTAACAGGAATGCTTCAGTACATCATCTCCATTTCACCAAATTCCAATTTGTTGTTGGAGAATTTCTCTCCAGCTCCCGCCACCAAGTCCCACCAGTCCCAGAGCCCACTTATAAAATAAACACACAGACTCTTACATTATTTAAACTGCTTGGCCATTATCTCAGGCCTATCATTGTTTAGCTCTTACTCTTACATTTTGCCCATTTCTACCTTTACTTTGCCACGTGGCTGGTGGCTTACCGGTACTTTATATCTTCCTTGTCCTGGCGGCAGCTCCAGGCGGTCTCTCTTTTCTTCCTCCTTCCTTAATTCTCCTCTCTCCTTGTCCCGCCTATACTTCCTGCCTGGTAACTGGCCAATCAGTGCTTTATTTATATAGAGCGATATCCACAGCACCAATTCACTTTAGAATTTTAAATTTCTTCTTATACTTTCAATCATGCATTCACGAATAAGAAATGAGTGAGCATCAAGTTTCTCTAGAAGTGTCTTAAAGAAAGCAAGGTCTCTAACCTGGAATCTAGTGAAGGTAGAAAATGAAAGGTATAGTCCTCAGAGTTTGAACTGTCTACATACAAGCCTGTTGTAGAAATCATGGAAGCCTGAATCAAAATTCAGTATCAGTGTAGGGAAGAGAATATTCTCTGTTTAATCATTAATAGATATGGAAAATGTATTAAAAGCTGGATTTCTAAAAGTGGAGACATCTCTGAAAATCTGGAGTGATGAAAGCATGTAGGCTCTATGGTTAACTGACTGTGGATTCCTGGGGGAGCCTCTCTCTTCCAAGTCTTAGACTCCCTGTTATGAAAGAGTAAAAATAAAAAAAAAAATCCTCCCTCAAATTGTTCTGTGCAGTATAATGAGAATGGCACTGTGAGAAGCACTCTGTTTAGTTCCAGGCATTCAGACACCCACTGCATCTTTGACAAATGAATGAGCTCTGTGTTCAAAGGCTTGGAGAAACAAATGCATGGTGAGAGCCAGGATAAGAGCCTACCAATCCCAGACAGCCATACAAACTGTGTGGCTAATCAACATACTTTGTGATTTACCTAATTATTTATAATCATTCTACTGTATTTAGATTCACCATTCTGAAAAGGCAAATAAATTGTAGGTGGAGTAATCTAGCTAAACCTAGATTTTGCATGGAGTAGAGAATTTGTCAGGCGTTATATCAAATTGAAAACAAATACATTAATGTTGAGATGTCCATCGAACCTTAGAGTTCAGTCGGACATAGATTGGGGAACAGTCATGAGAACAAGGAGGTAGTTTGAGAGAGAAGGAGAGTGCCCATGAAATGCATAATGTATAAAATATTGTTTGGTTTGGATGATGTTATGTGATCAGTATCAATGTTCTTTCCACCTGTGTGATCAAGAGTCAGAACTATGTAGACTCAAGCTCTGCTTTTTGTCTACCTGTGTCTTATTTAACTGCAACAGTAGTGTCAAAGAGAAGGATTCAATTCCTTCAAGTATCTTGGTCTTCTACCCATCTCCATGCATTGTTGCCCTACCACTTTGAAACCTGAACCTGTGGGAAGAGTGTCAAATCATATGTCATGATTTGGTCTCATCTGAGAATCTTGCAGACACAATGAAGACAGTCTAGACTCAGTTTTCTCTTTGTTACTGATCCATAGACCTTAATAATTTCATTTAACCTCAGTGAGTCTGCCCTGTCTTGGTCATAAGTGCAGAACCAATAAGTTAATGTATTTTAGTTTAAGAGCTATCAGTAATAGATGTATGAATATCCAATAACTTTTTAATTTCATTTTGGTAAATGCCCAATGAAGAAGTGCTGGAAACTTCTTCAAATTTGGTTTAATCTAAATGACTCCTCACTGACAACATGTACCACTTAGATTTTGTACTTGAACTTGAGAAGGATCCTGAGGCTAAGTTTTGAGGTGAGTGACTTCAACTCTTTGTCTATGTATATTTCCTAGTTCAGCAGAATTATATCAATAAATTTTATATTGTTACCAACTAAGTAAAACTCAGGAAGTCAATTGACTCTGCATCTCTAGCCTTATGATTCTCAAATGTGTCAATTCAGTCTCCAATTGTTTCATGTGAATTAAATGACCCAGATGATGTCTCAGGATATGTCAGAATACAGGACATGTTTTTTTTAACTGTGTAACATTAAGTCAAAGATTTTAAAAGAGGATAAAAGAAAAGTAGGCCATGACTGAAGTGATGGTTTAATTGGAAGGTTGCTCTTCAAGATAATCTGGGTTCTATTCCCAGAACCCACATGACTGCTCACAACTGTCTGTAACTCCCATTCCAGGGGATCTAAAACCCTCTGCTGACCTCTGTGGGTTCCAGGAAGGCATGCAATGCACAGACATATATACAGGCAAAGTATTCATATACATAAAAAATAATTTTTAGAATATAACATAGTCCAGAAGGCTAAAATAGGATTAAAAGTAGAACTAGTAATAGATAAAATGAAGAACAATGGATTAAAATGTGAAATAAAATATTTAAGGACAGCAATAGGACAGAACATTAAGAGGAGTGATGAAATCTCCAAATGTAGTGTAAGGCAACAAGGATCAGCAGAGGGAATGTTTTAAAACAAGAGAAATTTCATTCCAAGGATTAGTGAGACAAGACATTGAGTAATGAAGGAGTAATTTGAGAAAGATTTCACTAATTCAAAGTTCCTAAACTTAAGAAGAAACAGAACGGAGTCACTCAGAAAGAAAATGGAAAAAAAATTGTAGCCATTAATTTTCCCTTAAGGAGTAGGTAAGAAGGTTTTTTAGTTAGCCTTCATTTTTAAAGCATTGGGCATTGAGGGGGTGTGTGTGTGTGTGTGTGTGTGTGTGTGTGTGTGTGTGTGTGTGTGTGTTCCTAATAGGGACAGGAAACTCATAATCTCTCTTTCCTCAAAGTTTAACATGTTTCTTTGCATCTTTGTGTTTGTTCATTTGTGTTCATATGTATGTGCATGAGTATGGAGACCAGAGTTCAATCCTAAGCATCTCTCTGAGGGGCCATACACCTTGTTTTTTGTTTTGTTTTGGTTTGGTTTTAGTGTTTTGAGTCAAGGTCTCTCATTGGTCCAAGAAAGCTATGCTGGCTAGTCCATGAGCTGGGGAGATTTAATTGTCTGATCCTCCCTAGTCTTGAGATTACAAATACACCTACTACACTGGGCTTTTTTTATGTAGGTTCTGGGGACTGAACTCAGATCTTTCTACCTGCATGGTAAACAGATCCCCTCCAAAGGTCAATGCCAATTTTTATCACGATCCAATGTAAATCAACATTCACTTCTTACCATGATGGTGTATATAATTACCGAACAAGGGAATGTTGGTAAGCACATGAGAGAACAGGAGCAGAACAGGCTCCTGGAAGAAGTAGCTGATCATTAAAAATAAGGTGGGAGGCAAGATGGAGGAGTGTGGTGGTTATATTTGTGCCTTATGAACCATAGGTCATCAAAGTTTCTTGCTTGTTAATTCCTCTTCCACATGAACCAGAACACATACAAATGAAACTATTGGAGGATCAAAGTAGTAATCCAAAAGCAACTGGATAACTCAGGTGAGCCTCTGGTACAAAGCAGTCTTTGTTTCTTGTATATCTAGCCTCCAGATTTAACCCCATCTTGAGAGGTTAAAAGTGTTAATCATGTTTACACCATTGTATTTGGGGTGCTTTGTCACAGCTAACTAGAAATGAATGCAAATATATAATTTACATAATACTTCAGGCTAAGGAAACTTTCTCTTATGTAAAGGTTGTTCCAGGGCTGAAGAAATGGCTCAGTAGTTAAGAGAGCTTCCTGCCCTGACAGGGGACCACAGTTTGGTTCCTAGCACCCATGTTGCTTGGCTCACAACTGCTTGTAACTCCATTTCTAAGGGATCCAACAGTGCTCTCTTCTGGTCTCTACAGGTATGTGCTCATACAGAGTGTGCACGTGTGTGTGCGCGCCCGCACTCACACACGTAAAAATAAAATAAATGTTCAAGGAAAAAATGTTCTTACACTAATTCAGTAGGTTGCACCAGAGAAACCTGAGAAATTGTGAGGTGGAAGGGGAATACAGTTCCCACATGATGAAATAGAAGATCAGCTTCTTCGTTGTCATCATGTTTTAACTCACGCCAGCTCCTCCATTTAAAATAACTTCTCCTTTTACTCTACTAGATACTGACTAAATATTCCTTTTATCGGTACCCCAACTTAGGTCTTCATTCTCCCTAAGGCTATCCCAGAACTTCTCACCCATTGTGAACTGATGATGCCAAAACTACATGTGATCATCTTGCATTTGTACCTGCCATGGTAAGCACTTAATAAATGTCTATTCATTAAATAATTCCATGGATAAACAGACTCTAATTGTATAAAGAGGCAGGAAATCCAGGGAATAAGAGTTGAGTCAAATGATGATGGGTTTAAGCCCTTCATTGCCATTACCTCAGGGACCAACATGGGAAAGTTAGATTCCTGTTCTTCTCAGCCAGTTTGCTCAGTGGAGTGTGAAAATGCTACCAGAAGGCAGCTCACAAGTGTGTCTGTCATGGAGCCTAAAGGAAAAGGAACATGCGAACCAGAGGGAAGGCCTCCAGACTGTGAAGATTGTTTCCCAATGGCAAGAATCCAAGTAATTATAAGTAACTTGTACCAGTTTACTCCACTTGTTCATACATTGAAATATCAAAGTGTAAACTCACATAAAGTACAAACTAAATGGACGAAAAATGACTCAGCTGGGAAGAAGAGCCCTAGTGGTTCATCATGAACCAGTGTGTGACACTAGACATTTCACCTCAGTCCTGTAGTCACATCTAATTTAGTGGCAAAAGGAAGGTATAACTCAATATTTTTAATTAACTCACAATCAAGAAAATAACTCCTTGATCATGCTAATTAAACAGCAGTTGACAGAAGTAAACTTTAATTGAAATTCAGTATTTTTTCCCAAAGCCATAAAAATGCAGACCAGCATGACAAGATTTCTGCCTTCCAGTCTCTGTGTGTTGTGAGTTTAACACCATAAAACCACATGAACATCTCTAAACTACTGTGGACTGCAGTAGTGGATTTCATAGGTGGAGCCTTGCTACTTACTCTGCCTTTGCATCACATCTGGGCTGAATCTCTGAGCAGAACCATGAGATCCACAGCTGTACTGTTACAAAGAGTCTACAGCAGAGCCTGTAGTGAAATCAGCTCTTCCCCTTCTCTTATGGTAACAGGGATGTCTCTTCCTGATAGAAAAGATGAAGGAAGATATCTCTGACTTTTATGCCCCTGTGGTGGGTGTGGGCACCTTACTCTGATGGATCCCTGAGGTCTGCGACTGTCCTCATTCTCACTGAACTATGCTGATGAGGCTATGGGGTGAATTTCTGTGAGAGTGGGGACCACAGACTGAGGTCACCAAGATTCATGCAAGAGACTCTTTATAACCAAAATTTACTTTTCAATCACCATTCAAAAAGGGAGTATTCAGATCCCCAACAGGCTAGCCCTGCAAGTAAAATTACCTTAAAACAGGAACATCTCAAGTCTACTGAGATGACACAGTTTGGAATTCAGAATTATGAAAGAATTTAAAAACAACTGTCTTAATTTTTTTCCAAATATCGACATGTCTCAACAAAGAAATGAAATATACAAGGACAGAAAGCTGCAATGGTGTAAGTAGAGATCTATACAGAAGATCTTGGCAAAGAAACAATGTACTAACTAGCTTGGGCAGTGCAGAGAAAGCAGATGGTAAACAGCAAGATCCAGCACCAGATAAGCACCAGACATGCTATAGCTGTGCTCAATGTCCATCTCTCCTTGAAAATCAGGAAAGAGAAAGTGTAGATGGGAAAATCTTGAAGAATGGTTGAAACTACCTAGTCTGACAAAATACAAGCCTGCCATGAAGAAACCAAGCTTAATTAAGCAAAATCACCACAATCAATATAGAAATTACAAACTGAAAATCACTTGAAAGCAGAGAGAAAATAACATCACTTATGGGGGATCCACAAAGGAAAGAATGAAGTGGAAGAACATCTAAAAATATTAAGTGCAGTAGATCTTCAAACTAGTGTCCTACCATCCAGAAAGACAGTATGGGAATGGAGGGGAAAGGTATTCTGAGGAGGGGCACAGTGAAGACTTTTCCTTCTGTTACAGCCTCCTCTGAGGGAATGGAGAAAGAAAGTGCTTGAGGTCAGAAAGGTAACTGTGAACTTGAAAGGTCAGGAAAAAAGATAGGAATGGAGGATGAGTAAGGGACAAAGACAACAGACTTCTCTGTCTTTGAGTTCCAGCTGCACTGGACACTGAAGAGCAGGTCAGTGTGTGATGTGGGTCTCAGTGTGTGGGGACAACACCTGAGCAGTGTGTCCTAGAGGGGAGAAGGCTCTTCCCTGTTTGTAGCCTTGTAGCTGCTTCATTTCACACGGAAATGGTGTTAGCAAAGTCCATGAGCAGCATGTGAGTGTTGAATAACACAGAGCAGTGGCTGAGAGGTTGGTAAAAAAGGTGTAATGAGAGAGAAGTTAAACACAAAGGAGTCTTCTGGGAAAGTGTCCAAGAAACACACAGGGAAGGGAAAATGGAAGAGTAAAGTAACAGAAATCCAAACAGAAAGCAATAAAAATAAGGAGTAAACATCCTTATATAACAATAAATACACAAAATGATCTAGTCTCCCCAGCTAATGTTAAGAGGTAGAAATAATAAATAAGGAACCAAAACATAGGAATAATAAGTTTAAAAAACTGACTCAAGCATACTCTGTCTATGCAAGGAAATTGCTACAGATAAAAAGGGACATTGTAAAGGAGGGTGGTCAGTGAAGCAAAAACAACTGCTGATCTTAAATGTGTAGGACCCACACATACACACACATACACACACACACACACACACACACACACACACACACACACACACACACACACACATGTGTGCGCGCACAGAGACACACATGCAGGATAGGGGCAGAAGGAGATGAGGGAGAGAAAGCAGGAGAACAAAGACTCCCAGTGGAGCTGGAGATTTGACTGCATCTTTCTCTGCACTTGTGTAGTTGACAAAGTCATTAGGTGAACAGTCAGCAAGGATGCACAAAGACTAAACAAATGTCAATAAGAGAGAAAAGATATTACAGAAAATTCTGATCAAGAGAGCAGTTTTTGGTTTTGTTTATTTTATTCCCTGGATGAGTGTTTAACAAATTAAATGAAGGGGCACTTACATACACATTTCTTAAGGAAGCAGTATTTATTTAACAAGGTGAACTATTCTGTCATCCATCTACTTAACATACTTAGAAGAAATGAAATTATATGTAGTATGTTGTCAAATCACAATGGGTTAACAATGGAGATCTTTCATACACAGATAAGAAAATCAACTTTTTGGCATCAAACCATTTTGTGTCATAAATGAAGGCACAGATTAGAAACCAGCTCTACTGGTAGAGTTAGCCTAGGGCCAGCATCAGCCTACAGCTGTGTCCTCCCGCCCCCAGTGCCAGGATCCCTGCTCCTGCAGCTCAGGATTGGGTCATGGCACAGCCAGGCACCCTTGCCCTTTTTTACCTGCTGAATCACCAGATGCTTCTGCTCCAGATCCAACTGGAACAAGTTGTCCACAAAGGGCAGGCACCAGAGCCCTGGAGGTTGGTTCTTGGGGTACCTGTTTTTTAGGTAGTTGGTCAGGAACAGGAAGGTGACAGCAGCCAGCAGCAGAGTCCTAGGATGGAGCACTGCCCAGATGGAAGCCACCAGGGAGCCATCTGTGACAAGCATGGTAAAGGTTTTAGCTGGGGTCATTTCTCTGGGTCCCTTCCTAGTGCTGTCTTCCTCTGCTAAGTTCCACCCTGTTCCTTGCATACCACGTCCCTGCTCTCAGTCCTACCAGAGTCCCTGCCCTGTGTGTTGTTCATACCATCTCCACTGGCCCGGCCCCACCTCTCTCTTCTGCCTGGGAGCCTATATCTTGCTCATCAGCACTGGGTAATGCTGGAGGCTTCCACAGAGCCCTCTGCTTCTCTGCACTTTTACCCAATCTCTTCCAGGCTCCTCCCTCCTAACCCTTATGCTGGTGCTCTCTGCTTTGCCCTTTCTCCCAAGTCCTTCCTACCTGCAGGTACTTCTCCTCCACCCCTAGGTGCCAGACATTGTGTTCCCAGCACTCCCCCAAGTGTGGTTTAAAAGGGCTGGCTAAGAATGGTTGTTTTTTTCAGAAATTTGTTTCTCTGAAGCCTTTGTGTGGCTCTGGGAATTGTGATTTACATCCCAGTGGACTCCTGGTTTGTAAACAAGCCTTCCCCAGTGCTGGCAACCTTTTCAGAGGAGAGAGATTGTGTGTGGGGAGGGGTGTGGGTGACCAGATTTGTGATGCTGCAGCACCTGTGACATTACAGAGAAAAGTCACCACTGGGAACTTTTTGAAATGATCCCTCCCCATGAACAGTGCTCTGCAGTTATGAAGGTGAGGAAAAGTGTTTAAAGCTGTATGTGTTTTTAAAATCTTGTTTGGGCATTCGTTCTCAAGTTCATAGCAATAATGCCAATTTATTTGAGTGTTTATAATCCCTTTGCCCAATTCCATCACGATTCAAATATATACTCTGAAATTGGAAGGCTCTGTAACTTCTCATATTCACAACTGATATCTGATATATAATATCTTATTGACAAATAATAATAAAATTGAGTATAATATCATGATTCTTGGTTTCAAAATGCAGATGCATCCACCCTTACCAAGAAGAGGAAATGGTTCCTATTATTTGGCTTTCACATGAGTACACATGGGTGTTAGAAAACCAATATAACTTTACCAAATAAGAAACTACCAGTTGCAGCCTACAGAAAGGGAAGAGACTTTTTACCAACTCCCGTCTGAAAGAGGACTAATATCCAAAGTACTTAAATAACTCAAGAAGCTTGATTAAAAAAGCCAAATAACCCAATTTAAAAAAATGGAGTAAATATCTAAACAGAGAAGTCTCAAAAGCAGAAATTCAAATGACTGAGAAAGTCCTAAAGAAATTTTCAGCATTGTTAGCCATCAGGGAAATTCAAATCAGAACTGTTTTGAGATTTCCTCTTATATCTGTCAGAATAGCTAAGTTCAATAATACAAATGACAGCTCACTGGCAAGGATGTGGAACAAGAGAAATACTTCACCACTGCTGGTGGGAGTGCAAATGTGTACATTCACTATGGACATTAGCACAGTGGTTCCTCAGAAAAACAGGGATTGATCTACCTCCAGAGCCAGCTACACCACTTTTGCTTATCTACCCAAAGGATATTTCATCCTGTCACAAGGACACTGGCTCAATTATGTACATTGCTGCTCTATTTACAACAGCCAGATATTATGTAGGAAACAACCTAGATAACCCTCAACTGAAGATTGGATAAAGGAAATGAAGTACATATACACAATGAATTATTACTCACCTCATTAAAAATGTAGACTGATGAAATTTGCAGGCAAGTGGATGAACTAAAAAAAAAAATCATGCTGAGTGATGTAATCCAAACCTAGAACGATAAAGACAGTATGTATCCACTTATATCTGGATATTAGCCATTAAAAATGATAATCAAGGTACAATTCATAGACCCAGAGAGGTTAGGTATAGAGGAAGGGACTGGGGGGAGTACATGAATCTCCATGGGAGGAGAAAATAGAACAGATTTAATGGATGGATTGCAGCAAAGGTAGGTGGAAGAACAAGAATGAGAGGATCAGTTGACAAGAGGGAGGGAAGATGACATTGATGGAGGAAATGGGCAGAGACAGCTACAACTGAAGGCCATTGGAAGGGAGGTGTAGAAACCTAGTGCAGTGAAAACTTCCTGTAATATAGGAAGGTGATCGTACTGAATTTTTCAAATAAAAGGAGACAGAACCTCTACTGGCCATCTCTTATTGGCAAAGGAAGGTTTCAGTGCCAGGACTGAGTTTCATACAATTGAGCTGTTGGCTCAAGTGTCCCATGGAAATCCCCAAGCAACTCAGGCTATTGTCAAGAGAACAGGTTTCTCTCCACAAACTGACATAAAGGCCATATCACTGAAGACAACACTCACACAACTCATTGAATAGGGAGAGGTAGAGCTGGTGCCTATATAGAACACTTACTCCCATGTTCTAGTGCCAGTTACAGGGAAAAGTACTCTGCAAGCTACCAAAAGAGAAAAGGAAACACCAACCAAACCCAACCACAAAACCTTTGATCTACAAAGCTATCTTGACTTCAGAATATGCTAGAGCAATGATGGCATAAACCTTGGGGGAATAACCAACTGATGTTTGATTTGACTTAAGGCCACTCCGTGAGATGGAACTCATACCTCACCCTGCCTGTCTAACCAAGAACCAGAGTCTAGAGAGCCCAGACACTTAGGATAAAATCAAGCAATACTGGACTTAAAAAAGGTAACAATAAAATGACTCTTAATGATATTCTACTATACTCATACATCTCAGAGATTCATGCCTTATTCAGTCATCATCAGAAAAGCTTCCTTATGTAGCAGATGGGAACAGATATAGAGACCCACAGCCAGATGTTGTTGGTTGTTTTTGCTCTTTAGAGGAGCCCACCACCCAGCTCCCAAATAAATCACACATGGAGGTTTATTTTCAACTATAAATGCCAGGCCTTACCTTGGCTTCTTTCTTGCCAGATTTTCTTAACTTCAATTATCCCATCTACTATTGGTGAAATTATTAAGGCCACTCCACGTAGTTAAAAGGAGATTTATTTAATGGCGTAACTTACAAAGTAAGGGATAGGTAGGTCGCGGAGTCTGGGGAAGGTGTATCGCAGTCCAGCGGTGTTCTCTGGAGCTCTGCTTGGCCCACCTCCACTGTCCAGGGTCCCGGAACAGAGAGCAAGCGCTGGCCCATCCAGATCTTGGGTCTCCAAGTGCCTCCCTAGGCCCCACTTTGTAGGTGTGAGAGTTGCCAAAGTCTCAATGGGGGTTGGAACTTCCAGATCAAAGCTGGAATGGCTACCCACTAAAATCTACCTTTTGTCTCTGGACTGTTTCCTTTTCTTACTTTTACTTTGACTCCCTGGCTGGCTATGTGGCAGTCTGCCTGGCCCCTTGAGTCATTCTCTGGCTCCTTCTTCCTTTCTAGATTTCTACTTCTATTTATTCTTCTCTGCCTGCCAGCCCCACCTATCCTTTCTCCTGCCTCACTATTGACCATTCAGGTCTCTATTAGACCAACAGGTGTTTAGGCAAAGTAACACAGATTCACAGAATTATACAAATGCTCATAGAAGAAGGCAACACATCTTTGCATCATTAAACAAATGTTCCACATCTTAAACAAATGTAACATATCTTCAAATAATATTCTACAACAGATAGACATTACACACAGAGAGAAACACTGGAAGACACTGATCTAAATGAGATGTCTCCATTTCAAACACCTCCCCTCAGAGCTCAGAGAACCCCATAGATGAGGAGGCAGAGTAAGTGGGGAGAGAGAGGGGATGGAAGACACCAGAAGAAGGCACTCTAAATCAACGGAGCCAAGCTTGTAAGAACTCACAGAAACTGAAGCAGCAATCACAGGGTCTGCTTGGGTCTTCATCAGGTTCTCTGCATATACATTTTTTAATTTAGTATTTTAATGGGACCCCTGAGACTGTGAAGGAATAGGTCTCTGATTCTTGTTCCTACTCTTGGGACTTTTTTTCTTATGTTGGTTTGCTTTACCCGTCCTCAATGTGGAGGTTTTGGTTTTATAATATATTTTATTTTGTTATGTTTGATTGGTATCTCTTAGAAGCAGGAGAGACAGAAAAGGAGTGAATACAGGTGGCACAGGATATCGGGAGAAACTGAGAGTAGATGCTGGTGGAAACTGATATCAAAATATATTGAATGAGAAAAGAATCTATTTTCAATAAAAAAAAGGGCAGGGAGAAACCATTAGCAGACTTACCATATTTTTGGATACTGCCACATACCCAAACTTAATGAGATGAAAGAAAGGAGCATCTTCTTGTATGTGGAAATTACTGAGATTGAGAGATCCTCTTTGATACAAGATCTCATTCCTGAACCTTATACTTCTCTGATCATCTTGCCTTCAACAACACTCTTAAGGGTGGTTTAATCAGGGCTCCCATTTCCTTTTTGTGATTTCCTACCTATTGATCCCTTTATCCAATGACGGCTACAACCTCCTAGGATGAGTTAATATAGGATGCACTTGAGTACAAACATGTGTTCTCTAATTGCTCATAAATGAGACCCATGTACCGCTTTAGCTACATTTTTTGCTTTGGATTTTTTGACGGTGGGGACCATCTCACATCCTTTACATCTCTCTGTCTCTCTCTGTCTCTGTCTCTCTCTAAAAATATTTTTAGATATATTTACTTTATATATATGAGTGTTTTGTTGGCATGTATGTCTGTGTACCACATGCATGCATGGTGCACTCTGAGTTCAGAAGAGGGTAATGGGTCTGCTGAAATTAGAGATATGAATAGTTGTGAGCTTCCCTTCCGTGTGGGTCTTGGGAATTGAACCCGGGTTTGATTGCACCCTGAAGGCCTCTCTGCCAATGGAGCAATCCAAATTAACCCAAATTAGTGAAAGACCCATTTCATTGGTAAATTGTTCCTGGGTGTTCTCCTGACCCCTCAGACGGGAGACAGGGAGGAGAGACCAGAAGAACCACATGTCTGTTTTCTGAGATGCAGCTTATATACCCTGTGGGAGTGGTCTTAGCCTCTCTGGGGGAGGAGTTGTGTTTGGTGGGCTTTG